GCCCAAGCTTGGGTGGGGGCCCCGGGCTGCCATAGCCAGGGGAGCCATCAACACCAGGCTTGGGCTGGACATGTTGGGGGCCGCCGAGAGCGGGAATTTACTTTACTGGGCCCTGGAGGAGGAAGGACTGACAGCTGGCGATGGAGGCAGAAGTGAGGTGTCAGTGTCGGGCTGCCTGCCCACCACAGCTTGTGGTCATTGAGGACCAGCAGTCCAGGGCTCCCAGAGAAGGCCATGACGGGCAGCCTGGTCTGCTGCCTCACCAAAGGGACCCATGGAGGCTACTCACGCTGTCCACGGCCAGGATCTTGGCCCAGATGAAGACCAGGAGTGGCCGCAGCTCTCGGGCCGAGCTCTGGAGCAGCTTCAGCACGTATGGGAAGATGCCGACAGACAAGGCCTACCGGAGGAGACAGAGTCAGGTGGTTCAGCTCTGGGGCCTGGCGGCGCCAGCAGGGGACTGGGGGCACAGGTGGCGGGTGTGCTCTGGGGCGGAGGGGCGGCAGTCTCCAACGCATGAGGGATGTGATGGGGCTTCCGAGCAGAGAGGGCTCCCTCAGGGTGGGTGCCCCCTGCTTGTCCCTGGGAGTTGCTGGGTGTCTGGAGACATCCCGACTGCTCCAAAGAGAACAGAGTTAACCGTCGACCCTGGTTGGGCTGAGGCCTGCCATGCGACTGTCTGTGTGTGAGATGAGCCCGGGAGAAAGCCGCCCACCTGGGCAGGACAGGGAGGCACGCTGGGCCTCCTCTGTTTTCGGCGGCAGGGGTGAGGGGAGACGGGCAGCCCTGTGTGCAGGACAACTGGGCTGAGCGGCCACAGCAGTCACTGCAGCTGATGCTCCGCCCTCATCGGGAGTTGCCGGAATCAAGGATGACCCAGAGCTTATCGTTACCAAGGGAAACCTTCCCCAAACGCTCCGAGTCCGAGCCTCCCCAGCTTCCGAGAGCTCAAGCAGCACAACTCAAGCTTTCTCATGAGTGATTACACAGAGCATGTGGGTGCACTCACTGTGCACACAGGCACACAGGAGAGTGCACGCCCTGTGATCTGAGGTCACGGCCTTTCCTCAGTGGTGGGGCGCGAGTGCCTGGACAATAAGCCGAGCTCCCTGCTCGCCTGCCCTGCCGCAGCACCAGTGAGCAGCCTGGCTGACCCTGCAAGGCGAGACGTCTGTCCACACAGGCAGAGCGCGCTCCTGTGCCACGCTGCAGGCCGCAGCAGCGCCCATGTCACCACGCCTCAGCCACCTGACCTCCCCGAGCCTCTGAAGCACACCTGCCACGTCACATCTCAGCCGTGGACATTGTGTGCACTCTAAGGAGAAAGGGCTGTCAGGAAAACAAGAACGCAACACTATCAGCACACTTAAAACCTAACGAGCGGGCCCACCAGTGACGTGGAGGTTAAGGTGGCTGGATCCAACATGGCCGAGAACAAGGCTGAGTCTTGGACTTGGACGCTTGAAAAACGTGCCAGAAGCATGTGAGGGCATGCCCAGAATCACAAGAGAATGGAGGAGAAAGGACTGTGGTGTGGGCATCACCCTCAGAGGATGCTTTCTCACTTTCCCTCATAGCAAACTAAGAAATAAGTAAATAAATAGAAACATAATTATTTATCTAGTTTGCATAAATTTCTATTTGTTTCACAAATAATAATTTTTGAAAATTCAATTTTTTTTTAGCGATTCTTGCTATCGGGTGCATGCACTCTCCAGAGGGGGGGGGACAGAAAGCAAGAAATCACCCCCCAGGGGGGAATGGTCACGCCGCAATCCCTTCTCCTCCCTTCTCCTCTAGGGATCTTGGGCACGCAAGCACACGTGCCTGGCGTGAGTTTAAGCCATCGGGTCTGGGACTCGAACTGCGGTCGACTACATGGGAGTCCAGTGACAAAGCCATTATGCCAACTGCTGGTCCCAACACTAAAATGTTTAAACTTTCTTTATTCTGCTACAGAACAGTCGAAATGAGGATGTAAAGCGTCGTGGTTAGTTTAACTTATATGCTCTGTAGACACCATACCCATGTAAAAGGCTACACAGACCAGCAGATGTCCCTCGGTTCATGGGCACTGATCAGACAGTCCAGCTGGATTGCTGAGAACGAATCGGGCCGTAGGAAGAGAGCCACCTGTGCGATGCGTGCAGGGTTTACTGGTGGGCACACTGCACGCCAGGCCCACGAGGCTGCTGCCTTCCTACTGGTGGGCACACTGCACGCCAGGCCCACGAGGCTGCTGCCTTCCTACTGGTGGGCACACTGCACACCAGGCCCACAACGCTGCTGCCTTCCTCATCGGAGCTGTCGTTACGGGCTTCGCACCTGACCGCCTCCTGGGCATCGAGTGCTATGGAATTCCTGAAGCTCTGCCTCCTCTGTTTCTCCAATTACGTAAGGAACCTCTGGTCCAGAGGGCAGAAGATCTAGTTCGAAAGCTTGTCTGGGCTGATCCAGTGTCTTCAGGAAATTGTACATAACACTTTATGTAAAGATTGCCTTTTTCAAAGGGATTTACGATACCGTGGCGCTCCTCCACCTCTGACTACGCGAACACACCCTGGTTCAATGACTTTGCCAGGGGGTATTTCGCCACAGTCTGACGTCCATCACGGTGCTAAAATGTGAACTGAAATCCACACAGCGCTTCAGCAAGTCCTAGCCTATATGTCATGTGCAAATCATTCCCATCTCTCTAGTATACCTCATGTTCTTTCTCCTGTAGCAAAAGAACAAGTCTCCTGGTTCCACTCCTGGGGCCTGGTCTGCTTCCCCAGGAAATGGGTCTCTGTCCACGCTTCATGCCTTTGTCTACGTAGACTTCAAGAATCTTCTTTTATCACCTTCTTCCCTTCACATTTTACAGCGTCCTTTTCGTAATGACCTCCCCTTCTCCAGTACAATCAGGCACACAGGCTGCGTCTGCTGTACCATTCCTGGAGCCAGCTGTCTGGTCACGACGCGTACGCCTCGACCCCGACAAGCACTCCGCTTCCGAACAGCTCCAGACTTCCCACCTTGGCCACTGCGTGCACTACACAGCACGCTCTTGCTAAGTTGTAGTCTGGTTGTCTTGCCACCTTACGGATCTTCTAAAGGTACCTCGAGTGGATGCGTCATGTCCTCTCCTCTTCCTCTGCCATTTCGACTTCTACTCTGATTGCCCACGAAGCCGAACAATCCTCCAGCAAAAGCGTGAGAGAAAATATCACCCATGCCACCACCTCGACCGCTAGCTTCCCGAAGACCTCGTTCTCCGTATCTGTCACATAACTCACGCTTCTCAGGATTTGATGGTACTCCATATGCAAAACTTATTTCTTTAAACTTGTCTCCGGCATTTGGATTCTTATCAGGATGGTACTCCTTGGCTAACTTCCTGTATGCCTTCTTCAGCTCGTTCTCGCTAGCTCCGGGTGGGACACCCAGGATGTCCTACAGCTTCGTGTCGACCACGCTGGCCATGGCGGTCACCCAGTGGTGCTCAGGGGGGAAAGCGGTGGTGCTGACAGAGCGGAGCCGGGCCCACAAGTGGTGGCGGTGGTCGCACAGGCCGAGGGAGACAGCTACCACCTAAGGTCTTTATGCTGCAACTGGCTGAAAGGGTTTCGGATAACACCCTTTCCTGCTCGGGTAAGTTTAACGTTGGACAGAAAACGAGGTAAAACAACTCAAAATGAAGTCAGTGCTCAAGTCCGCACCAGCACCGGGCGTGCCCCGAGGGCCACAGTACCCACTGGCCATCACTAGGTGCAGTCGCCCTGGGTGGCACGGCTGTGGCTGGCTGTGGACCCCCACGGGCTGAAACACCTCCCTGCCCCGGGGGAATGCAGGAGGAACTCACCAGGCTCACTGCCCAGGGACCCAGGTCCAGAAACCTTCCCAGCAGGTCCAAAGCCCTCAGCCGGTGCACCTGGCTCAGCAGCACCTGGAGGGAGAGCACAGTGAGTGCGGACCACCCGCAGAGCCGCACCTGGCCTGCTCTCGGACACGCCCCTTAGCGTCTCAGAACCTGGACTTGTTAGTTTGTGACAGGTAACGTGGTGCCGCCCCCAGGGTCTCGTTAGGGTAAACAGCAAGTTAAAATCTTGTGGGGTAAGAGTCCACGGAGTACTCCTGTTATTATTGGGGCATCTGAGGCAAAAATGTGTCCTTGTTTTTTCAGATTTTTGCCACAAGGGGTGTGTGCTTGCTAGAGGTGGGGGGTTAAAGTGAGAAAGCAGCCTCCAGGGGTGGCCATGCCTCTGTCCCTTCTCCGACATTCTCTCCTTGGGATTTCGGGCACACACATGTGGCAGCACGTTTCTCAAGCCGCTGTCTGGGACTCGAACCGCAGAGGGGGCCCAAGTCCTAGCCTATATGTCATGTGCAAATCATTCCCATCTCTCTAGTATACCTCATGTTCTTTCTCCTGTAGCAAAAGAACAAGTCTCCTGGTTCCACTCCTGGGGCCTGGTCTGCTTCCCCAGGAAATGGGTCTCTGTCCACGCTTCATGCCTTTGTCTACGTAGACTTCAAGAATCTTCTTTTATCACCTTCTTCCCTTCACATTTTACAGCGTCCTTTTCGTAATGACCTCCCCTTCTCCAGTACAATCAGGCACACAGGCTGCGTCTGCTGTACCATTCCTGGAGCCAGCTGTCTGGTCACGACGCGTACGCCTCGACCCCGACAAGCACTCCGCTTCCGAACAGCTCCAGACTTCCCACCTTGGCCACTGCGTGCACTACACAGCACGCTCTTGCTAAGTTGTAGTCTGGTTGTCTTGCCACCTTACGGATCTTCTAAAGGTACCTCGAGTGGATGCGTCATGTCCTCTCCTCTTCCTCTGCCATTTCGACTTCTACTCTGATTGCCCACGAAGCCGAACAATCCTCCAGCAAAAGCGTGAGAGAAAATATCACCCATGCCACCACCTCGACCGCTAGCTTCCCGAAGACCTCGTTCTCCGTATCTGTCACATAACTCACGCTTCTCAGGATTTGATGGTACTCCATATGCAAAACTTATTTCTTTAAACTTGTCTCCGGCATTTGGATTCTTATCAGGATGGTACTCCTTGGCTAACTTCCTGTATGCCTTCTTCAGCTCGTTCTCGCTAGCTCCGGGTGGGACACCCAGGATGTCCTACAGCTTCGTGTCGACCACGCTGGCCATGGCGGTCACCCAGTGGTGCTCAGGGGGGAAAGCGGTGGTGCTGACAGAGCGGAGCCGGGCCCACAAGTGGTGGCGGTGGTCGCACAGGCCGAGGGAGACAGCTACCACCTAAGGTCTTTATGCTGCAACTGGCTGAAAGGGTTTCGGATAACACCCTTTCCTGCTCGGGTAAGTTTAACGTTGGACAGAAAACGAGGTAAAACAACTCAAAATGAAGTCAGTGCTCAAGTCCGCACCAGCACCGGGCGTGCCCCGAGGGCCACAGTACCCACTGGCCATCACTAGGTGCAGTCGCCCTGGGTGGCACGGCTGTGGCTGGCTGTGGACCCCCACGGGCTGAAACACCTCCCTGCCCCGGGGGAATGCAGGAGGAACTCACCAGGCTCACTGCCCAGGGACCCAGGTCCAGAAACCTTCCCAGCAGGTCCAAAGCCCTCAGCCGGTGCACCTGGCTCAGCAGCACCTGGAGGGAGAGCACAGTGAGTGCGGACCACCCGCAGAGCCGCACCTGGCCTGCTCTCGGACACGCCCCTTAGCGTCTCAGAACCTGGACTTGTTAGTTTGTGACAGGTAACGTGGTGCCGCCCCCAGGGTCTCGTTAGGGTAAACAGCAAGTTAAAATCTTGTGGGGTAAGAGTCCACGGAGTACTCCTGTTATTATTGGGGCATCTGAGGCAAAAATGTGTCCTTGTTTTTTCAGATTTTTGCCACAAGGGGTGTGTGCTTGCTAGAGGTGGGGGGTTAAAGTGAGAAAGCAGCCTCCAGGGGTGGCCATGCCTCTGTCCCTTCTCCGACATTCTCTCCTTGGGATTTCGGGCACACACATGTGGCAGCACGTTTCTCAAGCCGCTGTCTGGGACTCGAACCGCAGAGGTGGCCATGTGGGATCCAGAACCGTCACCACCACCCCACCCGCTGGCCCACACAAGTGTGCAGAGACGCACCTGTAAGACAATGGGCAGCTGCTCCGGGGGGTTCCGGTTCTCCACGCCCATCGTGAGCCACACCTGGAAGGCGGTCAGCTGCTCAGCGAAGAACGGGCTGTGCTGTGGGAGGGCAGAGGACTGAGCGGCCCTGCTCGGCGGCCACCTGCCCACTGGCACTGCAGGCGACGGACCTGCGACCCCCGTGAGGGGCAGGGGCTCAGCAGAGAGGGGTTGGATGGTGAGCAGACTGGGTGTGGGTAAGACAAAGAGGGCGAGGGTGACCCCTGTGCTCTGGTCCGAGCACCTGGAAGGAGGGCGTCAGCCTCCTGGGTGGGGACTGAGGGGGAGCATGTCAGCGGTCCAGGCCTGACGTGTACTGTGCATGCTGTCCGCTGGACAGCCGTCTGGGACAGGTCTGGGCAAGAGGAACATGAAGGAGTCAGTGGCAAAGATTGTTTTCAGGCGAGTGACGGAGCAGGGACCCAGGACAGAGCCAAGCCAAGGAGAGGAGGTGGCGGCACGCAGCTGCGAGAGGGCAGGAGGGGTGTTTCCAGGATAACCATGATCCGCAGTGACCCCAAACGGATGAGGGCTCAGGTGAAACCAAGGTGAGGGACCGAGGGCCCACAGCTAGCTGGGGCGGTTGGTGGAGATGTGCGCACAGGTGCTGGGGACACGCAAGAAGGTCCTGGGTCTGCAGCCCAAGGCCGCCCTGGACACACACAGTGGGAACTGAGCGCATACGGTGGGAGTCGGGGACAGCACGCCCACGGCCCTGAGCGCACACGGTGGGAGTTGGGGACAGCACGCCCACAGCCCTGAGTGCACACGGTGGAAGTCGGGGAACAACATGCCCACGGCCCTGAGTGCACACGGTGGGAGTCGGGGACAGCACGCCCACGGCCCTGAGTGCACACGGTGGGAGTCGGGGACAGCACGCCCACGGCCCTGCGGGCACACGGTGGGAGGCCGGGGACCAAACA